AAAAAAAAAAAAAGGGCACGGAACCCTAGTTTCTTTCAACTGGTTGAATGTGCCACCTGCTGTCCAAACTGTAGAAATGCCAAGTGGATATCCTCTGTAACTTGCCTCATCTGCTGAGAGTCACAATGACCAGAATATTAAGATAACTTAGATTTACATGTCTTTCTAATTATATTCTGTTCATAATTAGACATGTAACTTACTCTGTCCCCAGCATTCCAAATCTCAGGTTATAGGAAATACGTTTGTGAATTAGTTTAAATTGTGGTAGATACAGGGAACAATATCAGTACTTTCTCTGGGTCCAGATTATCCAGTAGTAAAATGCTTCTGGGATTCTGTATCAGAAATACTCTTTGCCACTTTAACTTCTGGTGACTTCCAGGTAATGAAAGAAGTCCAGAGTGCCCTGAGCACAGCTGCTGCCGACGATAGCAAGCTTGTGCTGCTCAGCGCGGTGGGCAGCGTCTTCTGCTGCGGTCTCGACTTTATTTATTTTATACGGCGTTTAACAGATGACAGAAAAAGAGAAAGCACTAAAATGGCGGAAGCTATCAGGTATGCATAAGTGGTGTTTTCTAATGGTTGGTTTGAGTGTCTCCCTCCTTGTGTACCAATCCCTGGTAGTAGGTAGTACAGGCTCCAACAAGCCTTGTGAGTAAAATGCATGTCTCCCTTCACTGAGAGACACTGGTATCAAAATTAATTAAATCATCTGTCTTTTCTGCGGGCCTGGCATAAATTACTGGTTGCCTTGAGCAAATAACTGATTTCAAGGCTGGCTCAAACCCAGTGAGTGCTCAGGGAATGTTCTAATGATTAGCGTGTACAATAGCATATAGCCAGAGTTTCCATTATTGTACTATGAGCACGTTCTGTCTTCAGCCCTTAAATAAAGATACATTCTCTTTCACATAGTAATTTACCATTTGCTTACTCTGAAATAAATTGGCTAGGCTTTATGACAAGCTGGTTCCATAACATCACCTGAAAAGTTTGTTTTAGTACAAGTAGTACTCATTCTTGTTCAAGTTCATCCTGAGTTCCAGCTGCCCATAAAACTAGATCTTACAGAGTGAAAAGTAAGAGTTCCTTTTCTCTCACATGCTCCCCTCCCCCAGAAGCCCACCTTCATTTATGTCTTCCCAGCCTTTTTCTAAACGCTGTCAAATATGCATCACATACATATTATAGATAATACGAATTTATTTTTAGTTCTGTTAAATAAATGGAATTATACTGTGTGTTATTTTGCAACTTGCTTTTAGATATTTCCATCTCTTCCATTTGGAGATTTTCCCCTACTATCTCCTAACATTACAAAAAAGCTTCCTTAGGACCACCTAGTTCTGTTAAGCATATACAGGTACATATTCTGTTTCCATATCCCTCACTTCTCATGCTAATCACTGGAAATATAATCAAATGTATCTAATTATTTAGAAATTAATTTTATTTATGAAACCCAGTCACCAACCAGGAAGACCATTGGACTGCCCTACCCACCTCACTAAAATGACCTATCCCTGAATAACCCCTAAGAACGCTTTCCATATGCTTTTGCCTTGATAATGTACAGGGAGATGGAAACTTAGACACACAGACGTGCAAAGAAAACTTGGTTGGATCCTCTCCAAATCTCCAGGTACTTGGTTGAGTTGAAGTTGAGCTTCTTTGGGTGATTATTGGGCTCCGCATGGCTGACACCCTACGCCAGGACCTTGGGAGCACAGGGCTTCCTGGTCCCCCAGGTTCCCCAGACCATCCTGGAAGTGCACGTCAGTATTGGTGGGAGTGCTTTATTCTATCTTGGTGGGTGTGGGGTGGACCAGGGAAGCTGGCAGACTTCCCAAGGTGGCTCTGACAGGTGCTGTCCTAATTGGCCCATCAGAGGAGCCCTGGAACCCCGTACGTTAGGGTGTCAGGGCATTAACTTGGCCTTTTATAACATTTTTAATAGTTTTCAAAATTGATCTGTTTTCTCACTGTGTACAGATAGATGTATGTATGCATACAAGAGGTTCCTTCATCTTTTTGAACATTACTAGTTTTTAGGTATCATATGGTAATTGTTTTTCCAAAAATAGTTTGAAATTTTACCATCTGTTTTAATTAAGTATTGTCTCTGATCTAAGTAATTTCAAACTTGTTGTATCCTAGATAGGACCATCGTGTTACTCAGTTTCAAATTAAACTGCTTGATCAATACACGTAATTCCGTGACAGACTGTCAGTACTTCTAAGACAGCTTGTAGATTTCCTGATGACTAACCCATCCCAGCCTTTCAGGATGAATTACTTAGGTTTAATTTTCATTTTTTAAATACAAACTACTATGCCTCGGGCAGTGACTTTGTAGATTTTCTGTAAGTGCACACTGACTTTACACATAATACTATGATTTGGGGAGCTCTGCTCTAATAAGAAAATCAGACTTGTCGGTCAGTGCCTTCTGCGTTCTGGCTTGTTTCTCCCTGTAGATGCTCCCTGAGCTCCACTTCTTTTTTTTTTTTTTTTTTTTTTTTTTTTTTTTTTTTTTTTTTTTTTTTTTTTTTTAAGTTCATTTATTTTAAGAGAGAAAAAGAAAACACAAGTGGGGTAGGGGCAGAGAGAGAGGAAGAGAGAATTCCAAGCAGGCTCCGTGCTATCAGCAGAGCCCAACTCAGGGCTCGAACTCTTGAACCATGAGATCATGACCTGAGCAGAGATCAAAAGTCAAATGCTTAATCACCTGAGCCACCCAGTAACCCCCTGAACTCCACTTCTAAATCTCAAGTGACTCAACCCTAGTCCAGCAACTCCTCCCATGTTGAATTGCCCTTGACAGTGGCTGAGGTTTGCACTGTTGGGATTAGAAAATGCAGAGGAAAGATGGATCAAGAGATCTCATTTGTGGAATCTTTCGGTAACTTCAGGTATTTATTTCAAGTGGTTGCCCACTCCCATTTCTTCTCCAGACCCTCCCTCTCTCCTGTCACTTTCCTCTCCCCCAACAAAAAGCTTTTCTATGCAAAGGCCAAATCCTGCTTTAGGGAAACCCACTTGGTTCTTCTTTAAATGAATATATTTTTGTCAATGTGAATTTTCCTTTATGTACTCTGGCAGGACCCAAAAATAATTAGTTATACCAGATTCACTTAACCTTTGCTCTTGCTCATTTGCATTTAAATTAATTTTTATATGTATGAGATAGACTTTACACATAAAGCTGTATATTTGTTACTTCTGTATGTCTGGTCTCGAATTCCTTAAAACTTTGGAGCAAAGAACATCACTATAGCAAGTTTCCCCTATAAGAAGTGGGAAGTAGAAAGGTTAGGTTTGAACATTAGATTGTCAGGTATCTACTACACCTAATTCCATTCTTGGGGTTGCTGGTCATAACCAGTTTGCAGATCCATTATAATAAAAATATTCAGCACATTAGTGATAAAAACAAAATTATTTTGAGTCTGTTTATAACATTAGGCTTCTGTGTTTGTGGGAACCACTGGCTGCTGCTTAGTGTCTGAAGCACCAGGAGCTGCCTGGCCGCAGAAAGCAGGCATCTTCCTCCACCATGGAGTGAGAAGAGCAGAAATGTGGGGAGACATAAAGCAGACCAGCAAATGTCCCCCAGAACCTGACCTCTCCCCACTTTAGTCCTATCCAGATATTCACAGTGAAGAGAGGGCTCCCTTGAAAAATGACCATGAACTTGCTGTTGAAACTTAATAATTTCTGCATGCTTCATTTTCCATTTTCCCCAAACAGTTTCTAGACTATTGTTCTTGGGTGATTATCTGACTTTTTTGGTGATATCTGTGAAGTAGTAAATGCTCTTCAAAGAAATGGATAGAAGTTTGCTTTTGTTTAATCATAAGTCTTTTTAAATTCATTTTATGACAAATACAATCTCCTTCCTTCCCTGCTATACCCAACACAGCCTAAATTTATAGCTCAGTTCACAAATAATTCACAGGAAGCTGAAATTCAAATTTGGTATGTTGCATTGCACACATTTTGGACATTCATGCATTTTAAGTTCCAAAACATACGTGCTTTCTGCTCCCCTCCCCCCCAGAAGCAGTGGACAGTCCTTCCCTGAATGCCAGCTCCTGAGAGCTTGGTCCCCAGGCCCGAAAGCTTCCCCCACCTTCCTGTCTGTGGTTTGATATGTGGCTTACTGTGCAACCCCACGTAGCCAAGGCTTTGTGGCTCTGGGAAGTTTCTACTAAACAGGAAAGCATTTCTAGGAAGTTTGTTGTTGTTCTAAACAGATTTCTCTGTGGATCATGCTAGTTTCTGACATGTCAGAGCTCACACGTCAGAATGGTCGGCTCTGTCCTCTGAAAGGGAAAGATGATCTTCGGTCGAGTGTGCCAGTTAATTCATACCCCTCCCAGAAGCAGCCACCGGTATTAGATTAAGTTATCATTCCAGGCAAAAATAAAAATAACTGGGAGTGGGGAGGGGGAGATCAGTTCTAAACAATTTCTCCAGACTTTGATTTTGCAACATCTACTTTAGAAGCATTTTTTTTTCTTTTATGCAAACAGAACGTGAGAAAGAATGCTGCTATGTCAAGGAATTAATTACTCTAATTATTAATTATAGAGAATTTGACCATTTCTCTATAAAGTCACTTTCTTGTTGCAGTATTTGGTCATTTCTTTCATGTTACTCTGCCATCCCATCCATGGTTTCCAGATGTTGTTAGCATGGGAACAGTTCCTACTAGGCCCCTGTTGACATGAGGCAGATGAAAGCGGGGCGACTCCAGGGCACCAGGGGACATATTTTGAAAACGTCTGCTCTGCATCATGGAGATCCTTTTGAGAATCATCAGTAACTAAGCTCAGAAGATGTATTTCCATCATGTCATTGACCCCAAATCTTCAAAAGGTGGCACAAGCGAAGTAGCTTCATGTAAATTGTATACATTATTCCAAGAACCTATTTAAAAGGTTGTCTGGCTCTCTTTGTATCATTAAAACCCAGTGTGATCTTTCTAACAGTGCCTCAGGCTCTCATTTAGAAAGTCTTACAGCAGCTCATTCATTTGAATGAGTCAATTCTCGTTCAGTGTGAAGATCCCACAAATCTTAGGGGACCTTGGGGGCTGGGCTGAGGTCTGCACTGGCCACAGGGTGCCTTTGAGAACAGTCCCTGGAGCTGGGCATGCAGGCTGCCAGATTCTGCAGCACATTGTCTCTCCTGTTCCTCACACACGCATGTCCCAAAACTCCCTCACCTGCCCTCCTCCAAAAAAAAAAATATAACCTCTCATGTCAGTATCTGGGGAGATAGGAGACCATCTAAGATCTAAGTCAGCATTTTCAGAGATGACCTGAATAGATTTGCTCCAGCTTTTAAGTTACCGAATTACAGAGAGCAACCAGATTGTTCTCGTACTGAAGACAGGGTCAGGTTTAGAATTCTGTAATTCTGATCTAGAACTCTGACTGCCCTAAAGGAATGACCTTCCATGTATGTTGGTACATGTTTGTCCTTTTTTTCACCGTGTGAAATCATAGCAAGCAGCAACCTCTGAACATAAAATTTGTTTCTAGTGGTAGGAAGAAGATGCACATTACCAGTATGGTGTGGCACCAGCCTACCCTTAATTGAAGAGCAGCCTACTTTTCCAGTCTGATCCTAAAACAAATCCAGAAATAGCACTGGCTCAGTTCTGTCAAAATCCACGTCCTCTGTGAAGGCTGCCCAACCACTAGTCCTGCTCTCCTTTGAGATCCTGCTGTAATCGTAATCTCCACTGGGGTACACAGTGGTGTGCAGGCATGTGTCTGTGGTGCTTGCTGTTCTTTCTTGGGTCTCCTGTCTTAAACCAGCCTGGAAGTTTCTTGTATATACATCCCTCTCCTAGGTCATTCCATCTAATTCTTTTTTTTTTTTTTAATGTTTATTCATTTTTGAGAGAAAGAAAGAGAGCACAAGCTGGGGAAGGGCAGAGCGAGAGGGAGACACAGAATCTGAAGCAGGCTCCAGGCTCCAAGCTGTCAGCACAGAGCCCGATGTGGGGCTCGAACTCAGAAACCATGAGATCATGACCTGAGCTGAAGTCAGATACTTAACCAACTGAGCCACCCAGGCATCCCATCATTCCATCTAATTCTACATAAACTCAGGAAATATCTGTGGTTTCCAAGTAGTCAGTGAGTTGTCTGAAATCACATACCAAGTCCAGACTCAGACCACATAGGTTCTAACCCCAACCCCCTAGTCTTCTCTTAACACTGCACTGTCTTGGTATGCCCCATGCCAGTTTTTCTTTGGGAGAGCGTCTAGATTGGTCATCTGAAGCCCACAGTGTTAATTGGACTCCTGTGTCTTAAAGGGAACAAAAGTTGAAGAGAAAGATGGATTGGCCTAGAGCCAGCTGCAAATCCAAGAGCAGCCTCTGGCTGTATGTCACCCATGATCTTCACATAGGTCCTGTAGCAACAGCCACTCTCACATAGTGTCCAGGGTATTGTGAAGCCTTTACAACACAGTACATAAGTCTCTGGGTCACTTCTGGAAGAGAGCCTTCCACGAATCTCAATCAACTTGTACTGATTTCCAAAGAGTTTACATCTTGATATATTGAATTCTATAAAAGTAGACTTTTCTGTTGCTCAAATACACAATGTTTTGAGTAATTTCCCATTTATTTTTCATTTTAGAAACTTCGTGAATACTTTCATTCAGTTTAAGAAGCCTATTATTGTAGCAGTAAATGGCCCAGCCATTGGACTAGGAGCCTCCATATTGCCTCTTTGTGATGTGGTTTGGGCCAACGAAAAGGCTTGGTTTCAAACACCCTATACTACCTTCGGACAGAGTCCAGATGGCTGTTCCACCGTTATGTTTCCCAAGATTATGGGAGGAGCATCTGTGAGTACCTCTGTTTTTAAAAATTATTCTAGAAAACCTCCTAAAGAAATCTAATTTGGTTATTGTTTTTTCTAAATATATACAGGGTGTCATTCTGAGGAGACTTTCCATCAGATGCACTTGTAGTTCAATCCTGTTCATTAACTCATATTCTTAATTCATGAAATCATAGGAGGTTTTCATGTTTTGGTTCATAGAACGTTTATTGACACTGTGTTGCATTATTTCCTAGAGAAGGGCCTTATTTGATGAGGAATCTATCTCTCTGCATAATTGACACTGATATCTGCTATTAGTAAATACCCAATTTGTAACCCAAACAGCAGTGTGCAGTCGAAAAGTTCTTAACCCAATAACCTGAAATCTGTACTTTTTAAAAAAATTTTTTAATGTTTATTTTTGAGAGAGAGACAGAGTATGAGTGGAGGAGTGGCAAAGAGAGAGGGAGACACAAAATCTGAAGCAGGCTCCAGGCTCCAAGTTGTCAGCACAGAGCCCGATGAGGGGCTCGAACTCAGGAACCGTGAGATCATGACCTACGTCGAAGTCGGACACTTAACCAACTGAGCCATCCTAAAATCTGCGCTTTTAAGGGAAAGCAATGAAAGGAGCAAAGTTGTTTAGGATAAGAGAAGTCTTCCCATCTGATTGTGGAGGTTTTTTTTTTTTTTTAATTTTTAATCCATCCAGAATAAGAGTTTGTGTTTGTAGCTTTCGATTTTTCAAGCAGCTACACACATTGCATTTCTTATTCCTTGAAGTAGGGCATGAGGTGGTGTCATGGGTTGGAGTCTCCACAGCAGACATGGAAGTGGAGTCTGGTATGGTGGGGAAATATTAGTCTGTACCTGTGGGCAGGATGGCAGTGGTTGGGGGACTGGACAGAGGGAGGTTTGGGCCACCATGGGAAGCTCTGGGGCATGTATGGCCTGTCATAGTTGACCCACAGTGGGCTGAAATGGCTAATTCCTTTATGTCCATCATCACCGAGTGTGGGCTGCCCAGGAAGAGGGGTGTGACCATGGATGAGGTGGCTCTGCAGCAGAGAGAGTCCCTGAAGGAGCTGATGGCTAGCTGCCAACGGCACTCCCAGCAGCTGGGACAAGACCTCCCTTGGACAGACTTTGGCAGCACATCCCCATGTCCACCACAGTCCACCCCTTGTCTCTTCAGATCCACCTCTTCATACACATTTGGAGGGGGGCCACTTGTCCTGGGGGAAATATAGAGGAGAAGGATTAGCCTTTGATAACTCTTGCAGGCAAGAACCACCTGCATGTTAAAGTTAGAGGTAAAGTCATGATGAGAAAATGGATATTTTCATCCCCTCATTATTTATGGTGGGAAAAATAGTAACTTTACAGTAGGGAAGCCTGGCAGGCACCACCTTACTGAGTGGTCACAGTTCCCCAGAAATAAGACTGTCATTGGCGCTGACCTGCAGCATGAATGGCACAGCATCACTCCACCAGAGTCCTGACAGTTGGGAGTCCAATCCAGAGAGAGCACCAAGCAAGCCCCGACTGTGGCACAGTCTCCAGATACCAAGCAGGGCCCTTCCAAGGTGCCACATGGTTGGAGAACTCGCCAGAACACCAAGGCACTGCCCCACACTGTAGGGGACAGAGGGGCCTGACCACTTCATGCAGCATGGGATCTCAGACACAGTTCTGGGTCAGAGGAAGGACTTTAATGGGAAAACCAGCAAACTTTGCAGAGGGTTTGTACTTTGGTTCATAGTACCATGTTGATGGTAATTTTCTGTTTTTGATCATTGTAAGAAGTCATGTAAGATGTTAACATTAGATGGGTGAGGGGTTTACAGGAACTCTGTACATTGCTCTTATGATCTTTCCAGAAGTTTAAACCTATTCCCCAAATAAAGTCTAAAGGAAAGAGGAAGAACCTTAGTGGGACCCATATGGCTCCCACTGCCACATCTGGTCTCAGGACCACCCCCATCCTTGTCCTTTCCCTTCCTGTTCTAGTCCCAAACCACCCACAGCTGGCACTGCCGCTGGCCTCGGTGGCCACGTTGGTGGTGGAACACGGTCCCCCATCCCATGAGCCCTGAGTTGCTGCACTTGCACATTCGTGTCTGCAGCTGGGTGGGGGAGGACCCAGGGGCTCCCAGGAGGCACCAGGTGCCCAGGTAGCAGTCATACCCTTAAGGTCAGTAGGACCCTTGCTGTGTCCACTGGCCAAATGTGCCCCTTCCGGAACAAGCAGAGTCCAGTTTCGAGGGCCAGAGGCTCAATGGCCCTCAGATCATTGGTGGGGAGAGGGGGGCTGCACCTGCTTCCTTTCTTACCCAGTCCCAAGGGTTTTTCCTGTCGGGCACCTGGTACTGTGTCAGGGTGTTTGATGCACTCTGTACACTGTAACTCAGAGGAAGGTGCCCGTCTTCATGTACACACCTTCAAGATGGTACTCCGCCTGTACCTCACACCATTCCAGTGCTCCATCAGCAGTGGCTTCTGGAGATGACGAATATGACATAGCCAGAGGGTCCCCATGGTCACAGGCCCGCTCCCACACCCTCTTTGCTGTGAGGGAGTTCTGGCCTGGGACACCCCATGGTAGACTGGGCACTTTATGCCCACTCAGAGAGAGGTGCTCATGAAGGCAGGAAAGCAAACCCAGACCAGAGTAAGTGTGTACTCCTGTGACAACAGTCATCATGCCACCAAGTAGCCAACCAGCTGGTCTCCTCAGGAGCGATGCCAGGCAGGTGGTCTGGCATCGGTGTCTTGCTGGAGGCCAGATGTTCAACGGCCACAGTAGCTGAATCACCTCGATACATCAGACCCCATGCCCTTGAGCTCCATCCCTCCCACCATGGGCACTCTTGTCTGCATGTCTGTCATGCCAGCACTGGGGCGGCCAGCGACCAAGGCTGGTCTCACAGAGCTGTTTTCTTCCTCTCTGCAGTGGGTACTTTCTCCTGAACACCAGCATGACCCAGCCACATACACATCTCCCCAGTCATCTGCATGCCAGAGCCCCTTGTCCCCTGACCAGGCCCCTGACCAGCCAGCCAGGCCATTGGACACCGCCCTTGGTCACTGTGTGTTCTAACCTTGATCCACCTCTCCTTCCGCACCAGGTGGTTGACAGGCACACCCCCTCTGTGTCGGTGTTTTCCTTCATCATTATCTTGTCCAACTACAGCCGGGTGAGGCACTGGTGGACTTGCCGTCTGTTTCAGTTTGCACATCTGTACACTGGGCCAGCCCACCCACAAACCAGGCTTGCTCATAGAGAGTCCCCCATACGGCTGTAGGCGTGAGCTGAGGCAGGGCACTGGTGGCAGGTGACATGGGGGTCTAGGCTCCTCTGTGCCCTCTGGTGTTCTAGCGGGCCTGATGGAACTCAGCTCCTGGTGGACCTTTCCGATGTGTGGTTATTTGATGTCCCATGGCTGTGTGTTCTGCCTCAGCCAGCATTCAGTAAAAACTCCAGAATTGTTTTTTAAAAAACACATTCTTCTCTGCTGTGACCAGCACAGCCATACTCCCAGCACAGGGGCCTACATTGTGATCATGTCTCCAGCATGTGCCACAAGCTCCTTGAGCTGTCTTGTCACACCCCATCCAACAGCCACAGTGCTTCTGACATCTCAGCCATGCTTGGTCTGGGCTGCCACTTCCCCCATGCTTCTGGGAGCCATCCCAGGAGCAAGGTCACACTGTCTCATGGGGCACTTGCCAGGGGCCAGGGTATTAAATCTTGTATCTCGGGAGAGCTCCCAAATCAGCAAGATCCCTGTCCCACCCTGTGATCTGGCTCCGTGTCAAGCACCCTTAGAATTCAGCCCCACATCTTCTTGCAGCTCCTCTGAGGGAGGAAACAAGTTACAGGCCTCGTGGCCAGGAGAGGAAAGAGGGCGGGACTTAAGGGAAGCGATACCACCTTGCAGAGCCACATAGAGCAGGAAGGCCAGACAAAATGAATGCCTGCTCTTCATCAGGTGCATTTCCCCCTCCCTGGACAAGTTTTGAAATGCATCACTTTTTACTTCTCCTTGTGATCTACTGGTACCACATGCACAGTGATTCTCAGCCAGGGCGATGTGCCCCATCCCCCTCCTCCTGGGGGACATGCCTCAGTGTCTGGAGACTTGATTGTCACAGCTGAGGCGATGCTGCCGGGTGGAGGGCTGGGTGCTGCTCAGTGTCCTCCAAATCACAGGACAGGCTCCTCTCCACAGAGCTGTCTGCTCTGAATGTTTTCAGTGCCCAGGCTGAGAAGCCTGCCTGTGAAGCAGGCACTCAAAAAGTGCAGAGCATTTGACTAAAACCTTTGTCCAGAAAGTAGTAAATGCTGCTGGGGTGAGTCAGGCTGTGACGGCCCTCATTGAAAGTGACCACCCAGGGGCGCCTGAGTGGCTCAGTTGGTTAAGTGTCCAACTTTTGATTGTGGCTCAGGTTACAATCTCACGGTTCGTTGGGCTCTGTGCTGGGCATGGAGCCTGCTTGGGAGTCTGTCTTTCTCCCTCTACTGCTCATGCTGTCTCTGTATATAAGAAAGAAAGGAGAGACAGGAAAGAAAGGCAGGGAAGGAAGGCAGGAAGGAAAGGAGAAAGGAAGAAAGAAGGTGACCACCCAGATGCCACGTCCCCTTCTTGAGCTTTTGGTGTATGCAAGCTTCCAGCTGCCTGAGGCAAAGCTACACAGGTTTGGTTTTTCACACGGGATGTGGTGCAAAACTCTGCACGCAGGATAAGCCAGAAAGGATCACGTTCCCTGGATGAAAAGAGCACGCAGCCAAAGCAAGCTGTGAGAGCTGTCCTTTCCTGTAGGCACAGACTGACATCTGTGGAGCTAAGCTGCCGTCACAAGCTGTGCAGCAGGTTAGCTGAGGACTGTATTCTTCCACATCTTAGCTCCCTTTGTCCCCAGGAAACATGCAGGGCATGCCTGCCTGGTGCCATGTGCCACAGTGAGTCCTGTGGCTTGGGTGCCATGAGTGACACCCAGCAGACCCTCACTGAAGAGCACACGGAGCTGGTGATAAAGCTGGCAGCTCTCGCTCCTGATGGGCGATGCTGGAGAAATGCCCAGTGAATGGCTGAAGTCCTCACCCCGAGTTTACTGGGGAGGCTGCTGCTCTGGGGAGTTGAGAGCCTGAGACAGAGTGAGGGGCAGAGCCGTCACCTCCTTGAGGCTCAAAGCTCCCCAACCCATCCCATCCAAGCTGATTAAGTTTTCTCACCGCACCTCTTAATGTGTGTTTTTTTGGCTGGAAGAAAAGGGGTCCTTATTTCACTTTTCTCCAGCATTTCTCACTTGTCTGAGTAAACTATAACTTTTTTATTATACTATTTTTTAAAGATTTTTAGTTATCTCTACACCCAACATGGGGCTCGAACTCACAACCCTGAGATCAAGAGTTGGCATGCTCCACCAACTGAGCCAGCCGGGCGCCCTCACACTATAACTTTTTAAAAAACAGTTGGCCATTTTGGAACAAAACAGCAGCCAAGAAACTGCCAGTGACCTTGCAAATCTGTTTCTTGGGTAGAAGTTAGAAACCTGTCATGTTAAAACTACTGGAAATTGAGCATCTGAGAACAGTTGAGAACATGCTCCTTCACACTGAGTGTATTTAGTCTTACTAATCTTACGGTGTTCTTCATTGACTATAATTTAAACCAACTCACTGCCTGTACTTCCATGAACATTAGAGTCAGTGCGACATCCATGTCTTGGGAAAAGTCAGAAATGCCCTCTGTTGTCCTGCACCTCCACCCATCTGAAATCAAGAAGACTAAGTAGGGGAAGACTTTTCAGGGACAGCAGCCACAGAGTCAGTCTGGCTCTGAAAGGAGGAAATGGTGGCAGTGACAGCTCAGCACATGGCAGGGGACTGTTCTGGCGGCCTAGCTGGCTGGCACAGACCCACAGGAACCGAGGAAAGGGATGGAGGAGAGAAAGGAGGAAGGGAACACTGGTAGGGATGTCACTCCAGGGGACAAAGCATAATATTCAGAGAAGTGACAGGGTCACTCCTGACAGGCACACATTCGCATCCACTAGGCGAGCTAAGACCCTGTGGTTCCAACCTGGTCTTGAAGACATATTTCACAAGCGATGTAGTTGTGGTGTTGTCTTCACTATGTGTTGAGAGTAAAAGAAGCACAAACGAGGAAAACCACCAAGCACTTCCTACCAAGCCATTCCATCAGCACTCCTGTCACCCTTTCTCAGTGCTTTTGGCTCTGTCCTCAGAGAACTGTCTTAGCAGCTGACAGTAAGGTTAAATCAGGTTTCTAAATGCATTGTTCTTTTTGGCCTTCTTTTCACTGAGAAGAGGTGCTCAGTACAAGGGTTTTCTAGAACATCTCCAAACTCTTCGAACATTCGTGACTTTGTCCAAGACTCGGCGCAAGTAACAGGTCTGCATTGGACCTCGTAGTCCTTGTAGGGACCCTGTTCTCCACCCTGTTTTCTATTCTCTGCCTGTGTGGAAAGGGTAGTGAGTCAACCAAGCATTAGCTTTGCCAGCTGTTACTTGTGTGCCCTGCACTCTGTGCATTTCACATGCAGTAAATGTCTCAATGCATCTATAGGAGGCATAGAGGTGCTGTTAACCTGGAGATACACTTAAATAACTTCATGCCCTTTTCATAACAATATTTTACCTCTTTTGGAAAAGGAAGGTCACCTCCCAAGAGTGTACTTTACCTGAGTCCCAGGAGATGATGGTCACGTCTTCATGACCATCAGTCTTCGGGAAGGTTAGCAGTGCAAGATCAACTGCAGGCAGGAAATTGTCACATCAGAATAGTGTGAAGTTTCTTTGTCAGGTTTTCTCCCTATTTTGATATCTCTGCACCTGTTATGTGAATGGGATAAAATCTGTGCACATGGTGTTGAGACCTTGAAAATGATGCAGAATCCAGGACAAAGTTAAAATCAACTTCATATATATACGTACACACAGACACAAATATACTTTTTTTTTTTTATTAACAACAAATGTTAGTTTCCTCCATTGAGTCATATGAAGTAACAATAGTCACACCCTCCTAAGCAGACCACAGTCATGGTCATTTTGGATGCATTCAGGTCCTGGATAGTTTCTTACTTTAATGTCCAAGTGATAAAATGTGGCCTTCCAAGTTATACTCTAGGAGAAACACTGCACATGGAGCATTGTCTGTGTATATGGAGAAGAAGCCACCATTGGCCTCTCAAAGATCTAGCAAATATTGGGTAGTGATTCTGTGACTGGTGTAGATCCCTGACACAGCAAATCGCCTAGCTTTGCTTATGCCTCCATTTCCCAGGACACTGTTTTGTGTATTAAGTGTCTTCATGCGTGGGAATGGCTACCACTGGGCAAGAGGAAGCAGCAGGAGGGGCACATGCCAGTAACTTCAATTACCAACAAAGAGACCTCTAAGTTAGATTTCTTGGTTGTGTTCATGTTATTCTGTATTCCCTCATAAAAGAAACATTTTACGTTTTTGTGTGTGTGAATTACCAGTCAGTATGTGACTTCTCATCTGCACAGTGGATTGTGCCTTGTTGGGTTTATTCTCTGCCCACAGGCTGTAGATGGAACCCCAAGGGCACGCAATGAGTCCCCACCAGGGCCTGCGCCCGTTCAGATGCCCACCCTTGGTTTGAATTCTTTTAGATGAATTTTCAGGTTGGGTCTTCTCTGCCTGCCTCCCCCTCACATCTCATATGAGTCTCAACTTCTCTTTGTTTCAGGCAAATGAAATGTTGCTCAGTGGACGGAAGTTGACGGCACAGGAGGCTTGCGGCAAAGGCCTGGTCTCCCAGGTGTTTTGGCCCGGGACCTTCACCCAAGAAGTTATGGTTCGCATCAAGGAGCTTGCCTCCTGTAATCCAGTTGTACGTGGAACTTGTTCTCTTACATATGTTACTTTTTTTTTCTTTTTTTTACCATGACCTTCCCTCCAGACAGCTCGCACACATAATAACGGTGTCTCCTGAGTCCTCCACATGTGCCCCTGGCATGGCCCCCTGCACTCGAAATGCTGGAAGAGCTATAATTAGTGCCATTGCTCCAGACCCACTTGCCTGCCTCCTCCCCATCACAGATGCCTAAGAGCGGAAGGAGTCCACATCAGTCAGGGACTTATCTCACAGTGTCCTATGAAACCCTACAAAAACCATTCATAGAGTTCTTTCCTGTCTCCCGAGCCCTTTCCTTTTTTTTTAATGTTTTATTTTGGGAGAGAACAAGTGGGGGAGGGGCAGAGAGACAGCGATACAGAGGAGCTGAAGAAGGCTCTGTGCTGACAGCACACAGCCCGATGTAGGTCTCAAACTCATGAACCGTGAGATCATGACCTGAACCAAAGTCGGCACTCAACCAACTGAGCCACCTAGGCGTGCCCTCCAAAGCCCTTTCCTATACCATGTTTCCTTCCCAACTGCCCACGGTGGATGTAAGCTTTTATTTAATAAATGTGCTGGATTAGGGGCGCCTGGCTGGCTCAGTTGGTACAGTATGTGACTCTTGATCTCAGGGTTGTGAGTTCAAGCCCCACATTGGGCATGGAGCCTACTGTGTTTAAAAAAAAAAAAAATGATCTTGGATAATATTCAATCTGGTAACAATTGCATTTAGCAAATTATAAGGTAAACATCATTTAACATTAACAGACATGACTCCTATCTAGGCTCTCCCTGACATGAACAACGCTCACTGTTAAGATTAAATTTTGGTTAGAAAACCCCCTCAGAGGGTATTCATAGAGTTTTCACTGGGCATCACAAGAGCTGGTGTCTGGTTCAGGGGCCACGCCAGCCAGCAGCAGCAGTGTGGGCCCAGGCCAGGCTGGTCTCAGTGGGGAGGGGGCCAGAAGCGGGTAGCACAGCTCTCCTGAATTTGAGCATTTGCCTGATACCTAGAGTGAATAGACTTCAGATGTATCTCAGGCCCGGTGTGCGTTGTGAAAAGATGTCTGGTAGCCTTTTTGACAGGTAATTACTCAAGCTTGCTAACTGCCTCCATAGCTTTGGGGACAAGGGGAGCCAGTGCTTGTGGACACGCACCCTTGCTGACTCACTGCCTGTGTCTGGTCCAGGTGCTGGAAGAGTCCAAAGCCCTTGTGCGCTGTAACATGAAGGTGGAGCTGGAGCAGGCCAACGAGAGGGAGTGTGAAGTGCTGAAGAAAATCTGGGGCTCGGCTCAAGGGATGGACTCCATGCTGAAGTACCTGCAGAGGAAGATCGATGAGTTCTGACGGCCAGGTGCCTGCTGGTGACACTGGAATTCTAGAGCAGCACACCTGTGGCACCACGTTGCCCTCCTCCTCCCTCACAGCCTGAAACAAGTTCACTCTTAGCTCACGCTTGGAAGCAGGACTTACAACATCCAAGCTATTTATTATCAAGGAGTTTTTAAGTACTGTAACTTTAAAATAAATAACTACAAAGCTCCTTTGTCCAAACGTCATTATTTTATACTTAATATACACACAAGTATAAAAGTATAATGGTGAGCTCTAGACTGCTCTTCGAAGCTCTAATTTTTGTTATCTTTAGCTAGTACTGTATAAAAAAGAAACGAAGCGTGTTTTGCTGGTTTCAGGTGGCAGAAAAGTCTGGAATAATGTTTGTTTCCCTTATTTTTTCTTTCTAGAACAGAGAATCTAAAGGGTATTAGCCAGCCTCCTCTCTCCTGTCCCAAATAGAGATACAGAAAGATCTGAGGTGTGCCTTTGTCTCCAAAAAGGTACATGTATCTCAGAGGTGGAATGTCCTGAATCAAAAGTAAAACTTACCTTGTAGGATAAGTATTTCTGATGAAAAACCCACTGATGAACATACCGCCAAACTGAAGTACACTTAAGATTCATGCTGGAAAATCCAATGATTCTTCCTTTTTAATATATCCAGTTCTTACCCAGTTAACATGAGGAAACCACTGTCTCTCCAGAAGAAAGCTTGTTTTGCAGTATTAGTGAATCACTGAATAGCTTAAGTACGAGTATCTAAGTTATAAGTTAGTCTTAGTGGATTTTAAAGAGTTTTTCTGACCCTTTTGAAAAATAACTACATAAGTGCTTCTTGTTGCTGGGTGAGAAATACTACTTTATATGCAGTTTTGGTTTTCTATTTGCAGATATGATTGATGTATTACACCAAAAAAAAGTATTTTTATGTTTATAAAGTGTAATTTTTAGGTTCACTTAGAATATATTTTATTTAATAAGTTAAAATTCTTTTGGCACACTATTAAATGCAGGAACTCCTTTAAAAAAAAAAAAAAAAAAAAAAAAAAAAAGAACTACCTTATATTCAACGTTTAATGTCCCAGGTCTCTGCTTTCATATCTACGCAATATGCGGAGTAGAGTGTGGCGTCCAAGAGTGCCCTGTGTAAATAGACATTCACATTCCTTTCAGGAGTGGGGACTGATTCCTGATTACAGACGCCTATTATTAGTTAGGCTTCTGAGCTTGCAATCATATTGAATGTATGAAGAATGAAATAAAATCAAAACCTTATTTTTGTACAGTTTGGAAGTTTATACTTAGAACCGACCACCTCCTGGCCATGTGGAGAGCTGTACAGCGTGTAAATCTGCCTTTACCTTGGATTGGTTGGTGCAGTATTTTTGCATCTGTGGGACCTACTTTTTCGTTCAGTAGTTTGAACTATATATAATAAACTGTACAATCTGTAAAGTTTTTATAGAATAAATATTCAGCTGTGAAAACTGGTTAAATAAAACTAATATTTCTTAACACATTGGAAATGTTTGTCTAATTCTTCACTCCTGAAGTTCCTCATGGGACTTTTTTTCCATGAAGTATGCATGTGGGCATAGCACTCGTGCAGTTTAAAGAATAAGGAACTCTGTAACTGCACCTGGGGAGGAGCTACAATCTGACCAATATCATCCTCCCGAGTCCTGTCCACTTGACCCTTCCCCAGGCGACCATTTCCTGAACTTTGTGTCAGTCTTCTCCTTGCTTCTCTTTCAGAGATACATATTCCTAAACATATTACCTAGTTCTTCCTACTTCTGAACTTCACATTGTTATTACACATAAGCTTTGGTGATTTAGTATTGAGTTTTTTTTTTAATCTGTGTATGTAGAGTTGTAACTTATTCCATTGCCCAGACCTACAATGTAGGTGTTTTCATTCCTGTTTCATAGATAGGGAACCTAAAGTATGAAATACATGCCATAGGGGCAGGACCAGGCTTCCAGCCCAGGTGTCAGAACCAGTATTCTGGCATCAACACCATATTGTCTGTTTCCTAGAATTTAGAACTAGGGAACTAATTCAGTTCGGTTCTCCTCTGTGTCATCCTGGATTCTGCATTCTCTACACTGGCCACATTCCCTCCTCTCTCAGGCAAAACTTTCATGTTCCAACTTCTGGCTCATGAATCGAGCCCAACTAGGAGGAAGAACTGACAACCTTAAATCCTTATATTCTTGCCCAGTGTTGGGGAAGGTGACAGGAAATGCTCTCTAATTTGGTTCAACTTCAGAGGAGAATTTGACAGGATCGAGCAATTCCATTTATAAGGACTCATCATAAGGAATGAATTCTTGCACAAGATAGGATAAAGATACCACGGGTGACTAAATTCGTCTCCGTGAAAAGCTGGAAATGATGGGTTTATGCCACACTGCACAATGGAATACACAACCATTAAAAGAATAAAATACTTCTAAACCTTAGGTGAAAAAAGCATATTACAGAATAACTTATGTCAAAACATTCACTATATGCTTCTAAGAGATTAAAAGGATGTGCCCAAGAACTAGACTGTCTTTTTATCATATCCTCTCCTCTAGTGCTTCCCCACTCTTGGATTTAAATACTGTTCAGCCTCTGGCAAGTGAAGGTGGAGAGCTGGACAGAGACAGGCATTCCCATGCATTTAGGCCCCTGACCAGGGCCATCCCCTTCTTGGGCTTGTTTTCCTCAGCTGTAGTAATGGTGAAACAGCACATAGCCTGCAGTATGCACCAGGCACTGTTGCAAACACTTCTGTGTATTAGGTCATGGGCTTTTTGAGGGAACTCCCAATTTCCAGAGAATATTTATTAACATAGTATATATTAATATCTAATCACTATAAAATGAGAGCTCTCAAAAAAATCTTGTGGTAGGCTGACTTCGTTTCTGGCCACTCTGGAAAGAAGACCAAAGAAATCAAAAGAGGCCCGAACTTTGAGGATCTTTGAAGGAAATCATGCCCATGATGTAAGAAGAGGGGTGCCCGGAGAGCTGCTGGCTAGGCTGCTCCTACCACCCTTTGGCCTCATTGCTTGGTCAGGAAGTAAATGAGGGGTAACCCAAGTATCTGGGCAAAGCAGGAGCCCAGCGAGCCAGAGACCAGCCTCTATGACTAACTGTCTCCTCCAGCCACAGCAGAGAAGCTCTAACCCACTCCTACATTACTTAGTCACTTACACTGATATGAACAAATGTTATTCTCCAAAGGGAGGAAAATGTGTATGTTGCAGGAGAATTGGCACTTCCCAAATAAAAACACACATCTTAGGGATAGCCCAGGGATGTGGGGCTCTGTCAACTGAGTCTGTCCCTGCTCAAAGTTCAGTCTGCTTTCCCCAAATCCAATGAGCCCATCTGGTGGCCTTTCTGTTACTGACCTTTCTATCCTTCCATAACCAACTTTCCCCAGTCCATGCCTTTCCTGCCCTAGAGGGCACTCTAGTGACCTGCAGAACATGCCAGGGGGAGTCCTGGCTTTCACAGGAAGAGACTCAGGGCAGGTGAAAGTCCAAGGAACCTTAGCCCTGGAGTAAAGCCCAGAACTGGAGAGTGGGAGAGGATCTGTGATGTTGCATGCAACTGTTTCTACATGAGGAAACAGAACTAGAGAAGTCAAGGGACCTTCCCATCATCATACTGCCTGTAAGAGGCCTGGCATCCAGGAGTAGCTAGTGCTCTTCACAAAACCCCACTGCCATCTGTGCCTGCCTTCCCAGCACCTTAACTTGCCAAGATCAGATTGAGGTGAACACTGGCCACAGGGAGTGTAGAGTGGTGATCAAACTTCATTGCACATTAGAATGATCTAGAAAGCATTAAAAATTCTTAATGCTTTGGCCATACATGAAAATAAATCACAATCTCTGAGCTGGGATCCATGCATCTGCAGTATTTGACCCAGGTAGCTTGACTTGTCTGTGCCTGGGGGTGGCAATGAGTAGGAGAGTGGCCTGGAGAATTCAGTGCATCCTGACATCTCATGGGCCTAGGGCTCTGTGGGTGGAAGTGGGCAGTGGGGCAGAGTGGGTGGTTTGAGCAGCTTGGCAGCTTGGGATTTAGGGCTTTTTCAAGTGGAGGCTGGCCTTATCTAGAGACTTTTGATGGTCTACAAACTATTTCTACATCTGGAGGAGCTGGACCACTCCACAAAACCCTCAATACTAGCATCTAGAAATAAATATCTCACTGCTTAGCAACAGAGGAAAGACTGACTATATCCCAGGAAACTCCTCCCTGTTCTCTAGAGGACATTCCTGACAGTGTCTCTGAAGACACTCTGAAAATGGCATTGGATGTTAGAACATTGCTTTGAAAGTTACTTTTTTGGTGAGGTAGAAAACTTCAGTTAAAAGCCAACTTTATGATCTTAGAACCATATTATGCCCTTCAATGACTAATAAGTTGTTTAAAGCAAGCATTTTTAAAAATAAAAGCTAAGGTCTAATGAGTTTTAACATTAATTCCTATTTTCATAATTTTAGATTGTATTCTAAAATGGGAGGATATAAATTTTTATCAACATCCATACAGACTATATATGTAATCACCCACGTGAAACACCCTGGATAAAACAGCAAGACATAATATTACAAGGAAATAGAACACTTGAACAACATTATAAACCATAGAGGTAATTAGACTCATTATGGGGATCATTTCATAGTGTATAAAAATATTGAACCACTATGATGTACACCTGAAAATAATAGGATATTGCATGTAAATTGTACTTCAATTTAAAAATGTAGACCTAATACACACACATCTGTAGAAACCTCCACCCGAGCAGAATACATATTCTTCTACAAGGGCACATGGAACATTTTCCGGAATAGACCATAAGTTAGGCAATAAAACAAGTCTCAACGAATTTAAAAGGATTCAAATCATGCAAAGTGTGTCCTTAACAAAAGGAGTTAGATATCAGTAACAAAGAAATTTAGGAAATTGAAAAATATGTGGAAATTAAACCTCTTATAAC